TTAAAATAAGAACCAACTATGAATACCGGCCTCAATGTCTTAATTGATGCATGCAATGATGCATGCCTGCGTGCCTGGTTCAATGCGTGAACATGTCTATATGCATGCATCAAAGCATGTATAGCGGCATGCCTATCATACGAAAAATCGTACTTCGTGTGATTTCGGCGACGTTATAGAAGCTTTTATTGGACACATCAAAAACTTTGCAAGCAGTCGAAAATAAAAATATGATATAATATTCACAATATTGTTATTTCGAATAGTGTACGCACATAAACTACTGTAAATATTGGTTATCTTTGAGAATGACTACAAAAATGCACTTTCTCTATTATTGGAGAAATTACAGCCATGGGCCATCTTTTCCGTATGGCCATCATACCAGAGTTTACCCTACACAGGATAGAAAATTAAGGATGTTATGGCCAAACTTTTTTGAAATAAGATTTTTATTTGTCTACAACCTTTAATTTTTTATCCTGTATATATATCTATAAATCAATATACTTATTAGTTTAAGAGCACAACCTGTATTTATAAATATAAATATTTTTATACATAATATTTCATACATTAGTGTATGTATATATGTTTGTATATGTACAATAAAATTATACATTAATCTTCTTCTTGTACGAAAATGAATCATATTACGTAAGTAATAATAAATTAAATGATAGAAAAATAAGAATTAATAAGATAGCTGCCTTAAATATTATTTCTCACAATTAATGTATCAGTGTACAATTTCTATGTATATCAAATGTATAGCAGTACAACAGAGCTTTTCATCAGTAACGAAAAGCTTTTGCAAAGCAGACTTTTATATCGAGATGGCTGTAGCTCTGACAGCAGCGCTCAACAACGGATTCGGATCCGGCTCTTCTGTCAGGATGTTAACTTTGGCCCATCCACGCTGTTTGTTACTTTGTCGCAGCGCGTCAATAACAGCTTGCACGTACAGGCCATCTTCGAATGTAGAAGCGGAGAACACTGGCTCTTTAATCCAACCTCTTTTATCCTCAACAGATTGGAAGGCTTCTCTCAGCGCCGCTATCATTTTCCTAAGTCCTTTGACATAAGGCCTGGGTATGGAGTCCGCCATTGGTAAAGATATTCCTTGCAAGTCATCGGTATCACGATACAGGATTTCCTCTTGTTCGCCGCGACATCCGTACAAGTCCCCACCTCGCACAACCAGATGATTTCCACCACCGCATACCAGCACCTCCTGGGAGAGCTGTCCCTGCAGGTGGTTGCTTAGAGTAGCCGTTACCAAGGTACCGCCACTCAATTCCATTTGAAAGCTACAGAAATCCGGCGACGTGACATGCCTGATCCCATTAATGTACTTGGTTGTTTGAGTAAATGTTCTCACAACGGCATGCACCCGCGAAGCTCGTTGACCCATCAAATGAAAAATCAAATCTATAACGTGACTGCCCACCAATGCCAAGATTCCGCCACCCATCGTGTCGTCACATAGCCAATCGTAGCCTGAAAAAATTAATAAGTATAAATTAAATACTAATCCAATATTTTATGTAAATTCTTTAATTAAAATGTAAAATATGTAAAACATAAAAACTATACTTTTCAAAGATCTCCATTATACATAAAAGAAAATTTTCATTAATTTTGTTTATTAAGGCTCCTGAATGGTCAGCCGAGAACTCTGCGTTGACGGTGTCGACGTACTGTCGCGGCAGAAATAAGAACTTTCTCCAATGGAGAATTCTGTCCTTTGTGACATGTTGACAACCTATTTTGTTGTACATGCTATTTCTTTATTATTCGCTGTGTGCTTGTGCTCTAACGTTTAACGTATTCGTGAAAGTCGTAAAATTGACCGAAAAGTAAGATTTGCATGCGGAAGGAACGTTTTCACCTCCTTTCGATAGTCGTTAAACGGCTGTTTTTCCCGTATGTTTAGGCTTCGTTTTATGGCTGTTTGTTTATTGTCGAGGGAAAAGGGTAATTTTCGGTCAATTTCGAAAGTGTTCTGAAACGATCTATAGCGATGTTTTATTGAAATGTCTTTTTATTTAAAAATGGCATGCACAACAAAGGCTGCGGTCCACTTGACGCTACAAATGCTTCGAAGCATTCCTCTTCTCTTTTCTTTCAATGAAGAAAGAAGGAAAAGAAGAACGCTCCAAAGAATTTGTAGCGTCAAGTGGACCGCAGCCAAAATTGGGTGTTTTCCTCGCCTCGATAGTAAGAATCCAATATGGCCGCGGTGACCATCCAGGAGCCTTAATGAAAATTGTACTGCTCATTATTTTATAACAACCAAATCAGTAACTTTTATAGGATGATTTACTGTAAATAAATTCTAGAATCTTTCATCTCCAATATTATTTACAACTCTCAGTAACTTTGGAATATTTATATAATCTCGCGATTTTGTATATTCTTGAAATTATGTACTTCTTTAAGGAGATCCTATAGCGAAGGCTGAACTTCTTCGATGTCGATAATGTCAACATTTCTAATCCTGTTTTCTATGTTATATATCTATATCTGTTTTTGTCTAACTGCGCCATCTCTCGCTACACGCAATACTGCTTATCCTATCAACCTGAATGTGCATTATTTATTATATTTGCACATATAAAAGTTAAATACATACAGCTTTTTTTCTAGGCTTTCAATCTTAGTTTTAATTGCACAATATTGTTCTTACATGTTTTCCCTAGAGTACACGTATCTCATTTTGTATATATAAACTGTAGAATTGTTGTATTAAGCAAACATTGTCGTCAGTGACAGCTCTGTGCCCAAATTTTTAATTTTTTTTTCGTTCTTGATGTAAAATTGACTGGAGCGTTCTACATTTTTGTGTGTACTTTAATTCTATAAAAGAATTTTGCAATTCCGTAAAGCCAATTAAAAGTTTAATGTATTTAACAAAATGTCGGTAACGACTGCCACTATAGGATCCCCTTAAATGTAAAGTTAAAGGTAAAGTTTTGCATTTTATTTCTCTGTAGTTACCATTGTGTAACAAACTTCCCATATGTACTCGTACTTCTATAACTGTTACAGATCCACCCAGATACCCGTCTTCTAATGCTTTCTTCATGTGTACGAAGGCTGGCAAAAACCTTAGGCTGTGATTGACTATGCTGATCAGTGAAGGATAATACTGGGCGGCCCGCACCATCTTCAAGGTCTCGCTTTGACTCAGACCCGCAGGCCTGTCGCATACAACATGCTTTCCTATGCCTAGGGCTTTGACAGCAATCTGAGAATGCAAGCTCGGCGAGCACATTATGAAAATTAAGTCTACATCCTTCCTCAGGAGAACGTCATCTATACGACTGGTGTGAAATGGTATTTGAAGATCGCTCGCTACTTCCGAGACCTCTGCTAGCGTACGACCCCATATAGCCTCGATTCTGAAGCCCTTCTCTCTCAGGAAAGGTATGATGATTCGGACGATACTACCTGTGCCGAATACCCCGATACCGGGTAACGTCATCCTGAATGTGTAGAAACACTCGATATTGCTCTCTTTTCTTCCTCTTCCCCTTTTTCTCACTCCAAATTTAACCTATAACGCAGTAATAACTGCGAGCAACCTCCATCCGTTTCCCGGCAAGTACAGCTTATTTTCAGTTTTACTTGCACGTATTCAGCCGTGCTTTCTCATTTTCACACTTTGTTGTTTAAACAAAAATGTAGATTATGTATCAACGAATTTGTTTACGATAGCACCACGAAATAAGAGAGGAGGAAATCGAACTTTTTGCGCGTAGCGCGCAAGTAGTAGAGTGTAGTAGAGTCCATGATGTAAATATAAAGGTGTACCATTGCGCATGATGACATCACGTGTAGTGACGTAACGTGCATTGAGCCAATAAGAAATGACCAGGAATGCAACCTCGAAATTCGAATACTCAATTAATCGTACATTAATAAAATATATTTATTTAAACTTAAAGTCTGTAATAAAATAATAATACTACAAATAATAATAAACTCATTTATTTTAATAATGTTTATTCATAATTTTTGCTTTTTATTACTCATTTTATACATTTTTTTATTAATTTTTTTTTTCTGATTATTTAACACAATTTCTTTATTTATGTTTCGCAATCTGATATATGAAAAAAAAAGAAAAAAAAAGAAAATATATATAATTATAAAGACAGAGAATGAGACAGAGCTTATACTGACAGACAATATAAGCATGCAGCATCGTCTGACAGAGAAGCTTTTGATTCTTAAGGCCGCCGTAAAATCGAAAATATAAGAAACAGGGAACATATATTAGTAATTAGAAAGAAGGAATGATCAATAAGCAACAGATCAACGCAAAATAAAATATAAAATATATAAACGATAGATTTCATAGCCTGTACATACTACGTAACCTAAACTGGAAAATTGAAAAAAAAAGTTACTTTCAACAGTCAAAAAATATAATCCTTATTCCTTATCTCTAATATCTGTTCCCTATTCCTTATGTTTTTGATTGTGCGGCGGCCTTTATTGTGTTGTCTTTATAAAAATTATACTTACACTATGTTTTAAACGTTTTGCTCTTCCTTACGCGTGTTTATTACTCGTCTTCTTTATGACAGTAGCCATATTGGATTTGAACATTTCTGGTCATTTCTCATTGGCTATTATTTAGGACGACTGCGCATCCACGGGACTGGTACACCTTTATATTTACATCATGGTAGAGTCTAGAGTCTAGAGTCCCTATAAGAAGAGTTTGGACACCGGCGACACCGCCCATCTGCGGATTGGTTCCGCCATGTATGGGATGAAACCGGAAGTTTCCTTGGTTAG